CTGCTCATTGGGGTCTACCTTCAGCCCCACCTTGTATGCCGACATGCTAAAAGTGTTTATCATCTCACTGATGCTATTAGAAAAGGGGCTCCTGAGGGACAGAAATCAATCACTGCTGACATCATCATCTCATCAATAATTTGATTCTGGAAAGTAAACTCACTGTGGAGTGAAGGTGACCTTGAATCCTTTAGGGGCAACAGGCTCCACCCACCCTGATGCACCTGGAACACATCAACAAAATCACACCTGAACACATGCCAACTGACAGAAATATATCTCAGGTCTGTCAGTGACAGGTTACTGACCATCTGACTGCTTCCTGTGGGCAGAGTGCAACACTGCTATCTGCTGATTGGTTGTCTTTAACCACGCCTCCAGGCTGGGATGTTCAACACTGAGAGGACAGAAAAAACAAACTGAACATTTCTGGTAACCAAATACCTGTGGACAAAAGTGGTCAGGTGTGTGTGTGTGTTTTATTAGGATCCTTATTAGTCACTGTTGCTATTCTTCCTGGGGTCCCGTCACCATCAAATGAACATAAGTAATGCATCAACACTGGGCCAATAGGCAAACAAATTGGTTACACATACTATATTCATCCCCACTAGAGGGAGCCTAAGTCTCCTCCCATTCCAGTTGGCTCATGGGTCCCCGGAAGAACAAAAACATGAAAGCAAGTCAACGGGGCTAATGGAGCTATTTTCTAACTGCTTTGCCTTAGACCCTGTATTGAGGTGCCGTATGGATGGTTTCGCGGGGATGACAAGTAATTCAATTTTAGCGAGGTTCAGTTGGAGATGGTGGGATTTCATTAATCTTGATATGTCAGAAAGACAGTCAGAGATACGTGCAGAGACTGTGTGGTCGTCTGGCGGGAATGACAGATAGAGCTGGGTGTTGTCAGCATAGCAGTGTTAGGAGAGGCCATGTGATTGAATATGATGAGGTGGTGTACATGGCAAAGAGAAGAGGTCATAGTACGGAGCCCTGGGGGACTCCTATGGCAAGATGGTGAATAGCAGAAGACTGACCAAGCCAACATACACAGAATGCCCATCCTGTGTGTTATGATTCAAACCAGGAGTTTACTTACCCTGTGATGCCCATGATAGAGAGTAGGGCTGGGCGATATGACGATTTTAGACCGTTTTACGATCCAAACATCTGACGGTCTGTCATTTTTGAGAGACCTTTTTATCACGATTCACAGCTCTGCTGTTGAAATTCTGCCTTTGAATGAAAAGGGAACTTACCCCAGGCGAATGACACGCCTTTGTTTGACCCTTAACCAATCAGAGTGAGTCATAGTAATATATTAGTGCCCCGCTTGTTTTCACCTGTGTGTGAACAAACATGGCTTCGGCCGCGGCTGAGAGCGACAACGAGGTTTTCGTTCCGAAGATGAACGCCTCGTCCGTTATATGGAACTGGTTTGGTTTTTCACCAGATGACAAAGAGCAGCGAAACGTCATTTGCAAGCAGAGCGTCAAGGCAAGTGATGGCAACACCACAAACTTGTTTAATCACTTGAAAAGAAGGCATCCCAAACAATACAATGAGAGCCAGCTGGCAGCTAAAGCTAAAAAGCCTGCGGCTACAGCGGCAGCAGCTAGTGCTTCTTCCTGGCAGCAAACGCTAACAGAAACACTCACAAAACTCACTCCTTATGACAGAGATGGCAGACGATGGAACAGCGTGACAGATGCAGTGACGTACCACTTGGTTAAAGATTTGTGTCCCGTGCGAACAGCAGGAGCGGGATTTAAGAAAATGATAAAAACATTGGATCCGCGCTACGAGTTTTCCAGCCGCAAGTATTTTTCGAACATCGCCATTCCACGCATGTACGCTGAATGCAAAGTGAGAGTTGCAGAAAATATTCAGAATGTGCAGTTTTTTGCTACCACAAGCGATCTCTGGTCCAGCCGCACATCAGAGCCGTATTTGAGCTTAACCATCCACTACATGAGCAACTGGGAGCTACATAGTATTTTGAACAAGTTAATGTTTGCACAATACGTTTGCAATTGACATGTTTGCACTTTAAATATGTTTACGATTTTAATTTATGTTAAGTTACTTGAAAAACGAGAAAAACTGATTTTTGTAATTGTTTCTCTCAGGGCTTTTATCATCTCTGGTGTGAGTTTAAAATACAAGTGCGTTAGCACTGTGTTGATTATCCCTAGTATGAATAAATGTTTATTTATTCAATGTTTCTCTTCTTTAATACGCAATTGAAGTTATGCTATTCATGGATCAAAAATTGTGATAAAATCGAAATCGTGATAAAATATTGGAAAAATCGTGATATTCTATTTTTGCCATATCGCCCAGCCCTAATAGAGAGTATGGACAAAAGGAAGCCATGGCTAACAATGTCCAATGCAGCTGATGTCCTCAGAAGTACTGAGGATTTGGCAGTCGCTCTGGATTCTTTTATGGATTCTGTCACTGCTAACAGAGCTATTTCAGTGGAGTCGCCATTTTTGAACACAGACTGGTAAGGGTCAAGCAGACAATTTTGTGAGAGGTGTTCTATGATCTGCTTGAAGGCCACCCTTTCCATAATTTTAGACTGAAAAGGGAGGAGAGAGATAGGTCGGTAGCTCTCCACACAACATTTTTGGGTAGCCATAACATACGCTGAATCCATGCGGTGACTTTTACTTAGTCAGAGAGTGAGATTGTGTAAAGCAAGAAAATGTTTGAGGTTGGATACTTCTCCAAGCAGATTTGACCACAAGTTAAAGATCTGAGAAAAGTGAGTTGGTGTAGTTTCAGTATCCCCAGCTAAGTGAGAATTAGTGCCGCAAATTTATAATAAGTATCCCTCATTCTGAGCATATTAAAGCTGCTTTCCGGAGTTTTCCTCTTTCAGAAATTATGTATGATTTGTCAGAAATCCATAAAAGTGATTTATCTCATCATGTACTGTGATATAATATAAGCAATACGTCTTTTTTTTTGCTAAGCACGCCCCCTGCCCGGCAGAGCTCCGTGCAATAGGAAACTGAGTGCTGACCAGAACTAACCAATAGTGTCAGACTACCGCTTAGATGCTTCAAATTTAAGGAATACCTCGGCTGATGTAGAGTTGATGAACTTTTCAAGGACAAGAAAGTCTCTAAAATATAAATATATGAAAACACAACATGACATGAGAATAATACTTGTAAAACAACGTGTTCTAGCTCTGTTTGTTGGCTACAGAAGCACATTTATAAACAGAAACGTGAAGTTGCCATCTTAAAAAAACAGAGGAACAGCGTTTTTGTGTGATACACTTGTCAGCCACTAGATGGTGCCATTGGATAAGAGAAATACTCCGGAAAGAAGCTTTAACATTCACCAAGTGAACACAACATGGTCTCAAGTCTGAAACAGAAAGATAGAAAAAAACAAGGCTATGAAAAACATTAACATTCCTCTTACAAAGCACAAGGTCAACAAAATAATGTTTTTGAGCAATAAATGCACAGGAATTAGGTTCCAGAAAGGTGTTGAAGGCTCTGACAGATTCTGGGGGATGCAGCAGGGCCAAGATGGGTTTAGGTGTATGATCAGTAATGGTTCTTTGTGTGAGCTTGCTTAAGCTTGGGTTATGCTTGACGCGTCCGCGAGGTTCGCACGGCTCCGCGCGGCAAAATTGCGTCATTTTAACAACCAAGCCCCTCCACCGCGCCTCCGCACGGCCTAAACTTTCCGCACCGCGCACCTAGGAAATTTTCTAACCACGCAGACGGTCGGACGCGGAAAAACATGGCGGACTGGCAAGAACTAGTATGGCAGAGGTTCGTAAATGCAGACATTAGTATGATTCAGCTCTCAAAGATCACAGTGATCAACATGTTAATAATTCTTGGAGAGAAATAGCTCGCACTGTCGGAAAAGACGAGGACGCTGTTAAAAAATGATGGAATGCCGTGTTGTAAACAACAGTAATTTTTACTTTTACTATGGTGTAGTGTTGGATGCATGCCGTAGAGCTCCATGCTGCCCCCTAAAGTTTGGGAGAATATTGGCTCACCGCAGAGACAAGCTGCATGAACCATAAAAGCTGCAAGTTGTGAAGCGCGTTCCAGCCGCGAGCCGCATCACCAAGCGGAAAGTAGATGTGTCAAGCATAAACCAAGCTTTAGTATGAGGATTGCTGTAAAGACATCGACACCAGTCAGTGACTCGATGTAGGCTTTGTCCCCAGTACGTGTTGCATTTAGCACCTACTTGGTAACAAGATAAGCCACGCGGTCCAAGTTCCAGGTGGCTGAAAACCCAGAAAAGTTAAAGCAGAACCAGGCCTTGTGACTGCAGCAGGGCTAGGTAATGGGAGCCATAAAAGAGCCTGGATCCAAGCAGGCTCAGCACACACAAGCCAACTCGACTGGACTATCAATTCAGTCTGAAGATGATGGAAAGCCAGACAGAGACCAGCAGAATTCCAGGAAGGGCCACACAGTAGCCAGTAGAACCCCAGCCAAAAATGGTGAAAGGCTCTGACCAGGCCAGCCATGGTCCAAGCCACAGACAAAGGGTCAGGTCAAGGCGAGAAGGATCCTGACTAAAGGTGGATGAAGTTTGTGGGTTGCTGTAGTTTGTGAGAAGTTTGGTATCAGTCATTCCACACAGCAAGCATTTGTTCTCTAGGAATGTGGTTAAACAGGATCTATCTCAGGCTGCAGGACTCAGTGTCTCCACAGCAAGGGTTGAGTTTTGTTCATCTTCAACATAATAATGACAACATTAGATGACAACAGGTGCTCACATAGGTTTGTGCTGGTGAACATGTCTGAGCAGCTTGACCACGTTGATGTGTGTCGGGGAGGAAAAATAAAAACTACAGGCTTCAAACCCAGAAATGGAGATTTTAACTGCTCAGTAATGTGTTCATGACTGAAAGAGAAAGTTTTCCAACTAACTTCCAGACAGCTGATATAACTCTAGCGAGCAGCGACACGCTCAAACCAGCATGACTCTGCGGCTGCTGTAGTTTTTATTTTTCCTCACCGACACACAACAACGTGGTCAAGCTGCTTCGAATTTTATTGTTTTGTTGTTGCAGCCCTTGTGTGTGTGCGTTCGTGTGTGTGTATGTATGTGCATGTGAGTGTGTATGTGTACGTATGTGTGCGTGCGTTTATGTGTGCATGTGTGTGTGCGTGCGTGCACATGTATGTATGTATGTGTGTGTGCATGTATGTATGTATGTATGTGTGTGTGTATACATGTGTTTGTGTGTGTGTGCAAGTATGTATGTGTGTGTGTGTACGTGAATGAATGTGTGTGTACCTGTGGTCAGGTGGAGAGGCATGTGGTAGCAGAGGGATCACTGTGTTGCTCAGACACTCACACAGCGGACACAGAAACTCTCCGTTCTCCACATCGTAGCTGGTGTGAACCCGAAGACGCTGCTGACGTCTCTGCTCTTTTAGCTGCACCGCCTCAAAGTACCTGAATGCACACAGGTTGAGTTTAGTCATGTCCATATAGCTGCTGATTGGACAGGGTGAAGCTGCAGTGTCTCACCTCTGCCAGCAGGTGGCATGCATGATGTGTCCACAGCTGGCTGTGTGGATGCCCAGGGACAGGTCAGGGTGCATGAACAGAGGATTGTAATGCTCTGAAACAACCCAACATTTACATTTTCATTAACCATCAGAAACACTGACAGAGTATTTAAAATGTCACTGAAGCTCCGCCCACCTGGGACAGGCAGATTTCTACTGCGATTTTTAGACAAAACAGTCGATCTCTGAATGAACGCCGCTAGAACCATCGCTCGGCCGTGACCTCTAACGTCCTGTTCCTCTTGACACAAAATGCAAACAACCAGCTGACGCCGCTCACTTCTGCCCATCCTCCAGGGTCCGACACACACCTGAGAGGTACAGGTGAGCTCTGAACTATGGGAACTGGGAAGGGAGGAGAAAACACTTGAACAGACAGAAACTCCATTCCCGAGGAAAGTTCACAGTTCTAGCAGCAGGGATTCACTTCATGGATGTTTAATAATAGATTCAGAGTCAGGTGTAAGTAGATTGCACAGGTTCAGGTGCTGTGGAGTTTAGTGTGAGTGAGTGGAGCAGGCCAGACAACAACCTGCTCCTCTGGAGACGTGTCCTATAGTGGTGATCCATGACTGTTGCCTGCCACAGAGCCGGGCTGTTCTCACCAGATTATCCAGAAGTGATGTGTGCTCATGGAGCCGAGTCTGAACAGACGGTCAGGGTTAGGGTGTACCTGTACTCAGCTGCGGACGACGAAGCCTCCAGCTCCTCCATGCTTTGCTGAAACAGCTCCTTGTTTTCGCTGATGAAGTGTTTCTGCATCTCAGACATCTGAGCCATGATCTTTTCCCTGCGGAGCCGAGCCATCTCTGCTTTCCTCTTCCTCTCCGCCTTGTCTTTGTCCCTAACTGTCTGCAAGAGAGATCACCACCCAGTCAACTCATCCACTAAGTCATACATACAGATATGCCAAAGAACTCATCAGCAATCACCCACCCGCCCAACCAACCAGGAAAGAGCTAAATAATTAACCCAAAGATTAAAGCAGTCACTCTTTTGAAGCAGAACTCCACAGACGACGTTGAACAGCAACAGGAAACACAAACTGGAAGTCGTGTGATGTCTTACCTCCCCCAGTCCTTGTCCCAGGCTGATGGTGATGCTGGATGTGGATGAAGTCCGTTCTCTGATTGTTTTGATGCTTCCCACCATCTACACACCCACAAACACATCGGCAGCTAGGTGTCTCACTCTGCATCATCTCTTTTTGTTATATAGGCGTTTCATTGTAGTTTTGGACATGCAAGAATTTAATTGTGATCCCAGGAAAAGTCTCACAATTGTCCTCTGACCTCCTGTCCTACCCTAGCGACTTTAAGTACCAGAACATACTTGCTTTTAATGACGAGTGTGCATGTTCGTCTCAGCTGCCTCATGTAACAGGCATCTGTTTGAAGCCTCGTTTGTGCACGTCTTCTGAAGCTAAGGCAACGTGTTCACAAGCCGCTATATGCAAGTAACCAGTAGGGGGAGCTGACAAAACGAGCGAAGCATACTTGGCATGGCCATGCAGTCTCTAACCATCTGTGATATCGTTGCTGTGTATTTTTCTGTCAGGATCTAAAAGTTAACCTGTTACTGATGTTTTATTGATGCCAGTTTGTTTTGGTTGTACCCTTCAAATCTCTGAGTCCCTACTGTGCCCCCTAGTGGAATAATCCAGTACTACATGTTGTGCAGCCTGCTGCAAGAATATTCCAGCCTGAAGGAACAGGAATGTGAACTAGTATCAGCGTAGTACCTTCAGAATCCAGGTGATCATGTCTTTGTGTGCCTCCAGGTGAGGAGTGTTCTGGAGACTCTCCAACAGAGCCAGAACACTTCCTGAGGTACTGGGAGCTTCACCTGGACCTGAAAACACAAACAACTGTATGATGAACGAGTCAGCACACACAACCTGCTGACACACAAGTCAGAAATGCTACACAATGTTAAGCCTCCTCCCTCAAATACAGTGTATACTACTCATACATGCGCGCGCGCGCGCGTGTGTGTGTGTGTGTGTGTGCTGACGTGTGATTCTGGAGGCGTAGTTGAATGTGACGTCATCATCTGTACTGCTGTTCTCCAGTTGATGCTGCTCCTCCAGTAGAGCCATGCCCACCAGGTGGAGGACCTGTAGGTGCACCCAACCACACACACGCGCGCACACACGCACACACACACACACACACACACACACACACACACACACACACACACACACACACACACACACACACACACACACACACACACACACACACACACACACACACACACACACACACACACACACACACACACAGGTCTTAGTGTTGCTGCAGGACCAGAGGACAAAGGCGCCCCCTGCAGGTCTTTAAACTTTAGGAATTGCCTCCTCGAGCGGTTATTAACAGAAGTGTTTCACTGATCCGAGTAAAACATCAGTAAACTATCAGGAGCTTTCGGTTCCTCACCCTCTGCAGCATCGACTCAGTCCAGCTGCCGCCACTCGGCTCCACGGCCCACTGCAACACAGCACCCTGTACAGCAAGCAGCACGTCACACTGCAGCAGGTTCACCAGGCTGGCAAAAAGTGGACACAGAGGTGGAGGGAGTGGGGGTGGCAGGGCTGCAAAATACACACACAAGTTACCATGGTGACCAGGTGTGACACAAACTCCTGTAAATAACACAGGAAGCTTGGGTTACCTGTATCCTCTCCGTTTTGTCTTCTTAACTTCCTCTGAGCTTCCTCAGCCTGAAACAGCAAACAGCATTAACACGACAGGACCAAGCCTGAATGAACCACCCATTCCCACTGGTGTGAGTACCTTGGACTGGTCAGCTCTACTATAATGGTGGTAGTAAAGGTTGAAGTGCTTGTTCCACTCAGGACGAAGCTCATACAGACCCCTACCAGTCACACCTGGTTTCCTGTGGACAGAGAACTACAGTCAGTACCGAGGCCAGGTCTACGACTCCACTGCTGTACAGGTGATTCATCAGTATACTTCTGGTGTCCTGCGGATTGTTAAGCTGGTGCTTTTAAGGTGAGGAACAGAAACTAACTTGAATGAAGCCACACTGTCGATGACTCGCTCCAGACCCGTCTCCTTATTTCCCTGAAATAGACAGTCCATAATCAGACAGAGGACACATGTAAACACAGGCAAACAGGAAACACACAGGTAACACACAGGGGAAGCATACAGGTAACACACAGGGAAACACACAGGTAACACGCAGGTAACACACAAGGAAACACACAGGTAACACACAGGGGTAACACACAAGGAATCACACAGGTAACACGCAGGTACAGTAACACACAAGGAAACACACAGGTAACACACAGGGGAAACATACAGGTAACACACAGGGAATCACACAGGTAACACACAGGGAATCACACAGGTAACACGCAGGTAACACACAAGGAAACACACAAGTAACACACAAGGAAACACACAGGTAACACACAGGGGATACATACAGGTAACACACAGGGAATCACACAGGTAACACACAGGTAACACACAAGGAAACACACAAGTACCACACAGGGAATCACACAGGTAACATACAGGGAATCACACAGGTAACACGCAGGTAACACACAAGGAAACACATAGGTACCACACAGGGAATCACACAGGTAACACGCAGGTAACACACAAGGAAACACACAGGTAACACACAAGGAAACACACAGGTAACACACAGGGGAAACATACAGGTAACACACAGGGAATCACAAAGGTAACACACAGGGAATCACACAGGTAACACGCAGGTAACACACAAGGAAACACACAGGTAACACACAAGGAAACACACAGGTAACACACAGGGGAAACATACAGGTAACACACAGGGAATCACACAGGTAACACGCAGGTAACACACAAGGAAACACACAGGGAAACACACAGGATAACACAGAGGTAACACACAGGTAACACACAGGTAACACACAGGGAAACACACAGGTAACACACAGGGAAACACAGGTAACACACAGGTAACACAGGTAACACAAGGAAACACACAGTGGAAACATACAGGTAACATACACAGATCACAACATGCCCTTAGGTTATAAATTGTAAGTCGCTTTGGATAAAAGCGTCTGCTAAGCGAATAAACACAATAAACACACAGAGGTAAACACACAGAGGTAACACAGAGGTAAACACACAGAGGTAAACACACAGGTAACACAGAGGTAAACACACAGGTAACAGAGGTAAACACACAGGTAACACAGAGGTAAACACACAGGTAACAGAGGTAAACACACAGGTAACACAGAGGTAAACACACAGGTAACAGAGGTAAACACACAGGTAACAGAGGTAAACACACAGGTAACACAGAGGTAAACACACAGGTAACAGAGGTAAACACACAGGTAACACAGAGGTAAACACACAGGTAAACATCTCACATTTTCTGGTAAAGCCTTCACCAGCTCACTGTGAGCCATTGGTCTGATTGAAAGCTGATGAATGATTTCTCTTCTGACTTCATCTAAAGGTTCAACCTGGCCAACGCCCACCACATATCGCTCACCTGTAACATATGAACACAACCACAATGATTTCTGAACTGGTCATACTGTTCCACCTGTAGAATGTGAACCTGATGATTTGCAGCAGCACCAACAAGCTCACCAACAATCATGATGATGAGGTGAAGCATCTCCTCAATCAGCGTGTTCTGCTGGACCAGGTCCTGTGGAGTACATAAGTAGGTCAGAACTCATCTGAATGCCTGGGACACTACCTCCTGCTAGTGATCAGCAGAACATCAGCTGGCTCAGCACTGACCTTATTGGCCTCTCTGTATCTCTTCCTGATGTCAGTAGAGCTAAAAATGTGAAAAAGTTCAAATCTGCTCAAAACGATCATCAAGAAGTGGTTTGGATCCATCATGGAAGCACCCGCCTGCACCAAAGAACCAACGTGTTCATTAGATTTAGAGTAGAATCAGAAATATATCAAGAAGCAGTAAAACATCTGAATGATGTCAGTAGAGTAGTGGTAGAAGTCAGTAGTAGATTATGAGATTCGTTAGAAAGTAGAACCTGAGCAGACCAGCTGTACCTGCAGCATGACAATATCTTTGTCAAACATTTCCACTCTGCACTTGACGTTGTGATAATAATAGATCTGAAAGAATAAACAACAACACTTGTTTACTGACAGCTGAACTCTGAATAAGGGAACTATTGATCTTCAGGTGCACAATAACCTGATTGATCAATGAGAATCCGTTCCTTCTCCACATCCCAGCATGAACCTGGGCACAGAGCACCAGGCAGCGCAGGGGGAGTTCAATCAGGAGGTGAGGGCAGAGCTCACTCTGAGGACACACGAAACAGGAATCAATGGATCTTATTGATTAGAAACACCTGCTGAATACATTAGTCAGTTTGAGTCTCAGATCAGTATTTCAGTGTCTGTGGGCAACAGATAGCGCTCAGCATAAATAAGTATACCCCCTTCAAAAAGTAGGATTTTAATCACACCACTGTCAAATGTATGATCGTGTTGCATGGCTTTCTATAGATGCCAGACGACAATTTCACTCAATTTTTTATTTATTTTAAGTATTTTTTGTCCAGTTTTTCTTTAGTATTATCTATTTATTAATTTTCTCAGTTGTCATTTGTTAATGGTTTTTTGATTGAGTTTGTTTCATGCTATAATGTACTACCTCTGTCTTCTTGTATTTTATTTCTCTAAGGTAGGAGGACCCACTCGTAAACGAGACGTTTCATCTCAAGTGGTTTTATCCTCCTAAAACATAAGTTAATAAATAAAAAAAATCAGCAGCTCAATGGACAAAAGAACAATATCCAGAATGTTCACAAGGCTGGTTTTACTGAACACGTGTTTAACTCCAAAACATGAAATTAAGGTTAATAATATAACTTGGTTTACAAAAGCTTCAGTTTTACATAAACTGGTTGAAGCAGAAATGAATACACGCCACAACAAAAACTACTACACCTAGTATTTAGTACGACCACCATGGTTTTCAAGGACAGCACCAAGTCTTCTAGACATGGAATGAACAAGATGGCGACATATTGCAACATCTATCTTTTTCCATTCTCCAAGAAGAACCTCTTTTAGAGCCTGGATGATGGATGGAGAGTGATGCTCAACTTGCTGCTTCAGAATTCCCCACAGGTGTTGGATTGGGTTCAGATCAGGAGACATACTTGCCCATTCAGTCACCTTCACCCTGACCTTCTTCAGAAATGCAACGGTAGCTTTAGATGTGTGTTCTAGATCATTGTCGTGTTGGAAAAGTGCTCGGAGTGATGGCAGCATCTTCTCCTTCAGTATAGAGCAGGACATTGTTGAATTCATGATACCATCAATGAAATGCAGCTCCCCAACACCAGCAGCACTCATGCAGCCCCACATGAGGACACCGCCACCACCATGCTTCACTGTAGGCACCATGCATTTCTCTTTGACATCCTCACCTTCACGACGCCATACAGTATAGAAACCATTAGTTCCAAAAACAGAGATGTTTGTCTCGTCACTCCAGAGTCTAGAGACCCAGTAGTCTTCATCTCTTCCAGCATGGGCCCTAGCTAATCCTAGGTGAGCTAGGAGAGACTTACTTCATGGACGATACCCATGCATGCCATTCCTCTGCAGCGTGCGTCATATGTTGTCACGGGAAACGGTCACTCCAGTCTGGCTTTCTACTGCTAACCCTAACCCTTCTCATCAGAAGATGCTCCTGTCCAGATGTTAACTTCTGTGGACGGCCTGGACGTCTCTGTAACATGGTTGCGCCTTACTGTTGCTACAGGACTCTGATGTGTAAGGCTTTGCTGATCTTCTTGTAGCCCTCACCTGTTTGTGTAAACAAATGATTTCCTTTCTCAGATGTTGTGACATTTCTCTTCCATGAGGAGCCGTTGGTGACAGCATGAAATGGGAAGGGCTTTTCTTTCAGTAATGTCCTTTTATAGTCACCTGTCTGCTGGACACCTCTTACATGAAGCATTAGACTCACCTGTGGTTGAATGTCTGTTAATTTGAATTGTGTAGCCTTAAAGTATCTTTCCGGAGTTTTCCCCTTTCAGAAACTATGTATGATTGGTCAGAAAACCGTAAAAGTGATCATCTTATGTACTGTGATGTAATGTAAGCAATACATCTTTTTTTTTTGTTGCTAAGCACGCCCCCTGCCCCACAGAGCTTCGTGCAATAGAGCGCCGACCAGATCTAACCAATAGCGTTAGACTACAGCTTATTTGCTTCAAATGTAAGGAATACCTCGGCTGATGCAGAGTTGATGAACTTTTCATGGACAAGTAAGTCTCTAAAATATAAATACTGTAAATCCTCTAATATTGACCTGGATTCCATTACCAGCTGGCTCTCCTACATTAGCTGGTGTCGCTGTTAGCGGGGGTAAATAAAGGCCGGTTTCTAATAGTGGCTGGCTTTACGGCACAAACCCGGCAGCAGTTTTGAAAACTCTCAAGTACAATTGATCTTAAAATATTTTAATAAATAGCGTACTTACCCACTGTTAATGAATTAGTCTCACAAAACACGATGGCAAGTCTGATCATGTATAAACAATAGAGCCACTTCCTGCTTCACGTTCTCAAGTCCCGCGTGATGTTGTGACTATCGCGTGACTTTCCAAGAAGCGCTCAGTGGCGCAGCAATTCCTGTGTGACCTCTTGACTTGCCCCAGGCTTTATTTACTTTGTTGACTGGGTGTAAAAAATGTGTTCGGGACAAAAGGAAAAAAAGCTTCATTTTTTTTCATGTCCCTAAAGTAGTACGCCACAAAGGACTTACTGAAAGAAGATGGAATAGTGGATCATAATCTCTGGCTGCAAGATTACCAGGGACAAAAAATGCTGCAGTTAGCAATGATCACTTCATCACAGGTAAGGGTTTACTAAAGATTTTTGTGGCGTTTTATTGAACAGCTTAGAAACGCAGCAGGTAAACAGTTTGATACTGTTTTCACGTGTCCTCACAGCAACTAGCTTGTAGAGTGCTAATGTTGTTAGCAGTTAGCTCAGTGTTGTAATGTGGAACTGGGGAGGATGAGGATTAAACAGTTGGAGGATTTTATTTTGTACTTCTAACCAAACGAGACATGAACGGTTAAACTTTGGAGCAGTACAGTGTCTGTTGACTTTTTTTGTGAATCAACAACCTAATTATCACCTAGTGTTTACAATGCACTACCGGCACGTTTGCTACCATACTGGGATTTAGTCTGAAACAACGGTGTTTGTTGTAAATGTTCTATATGCATACGTACGTACAATGTTAACTGAACATTTTCAATAAACAAATCTGGTGTTTTAAAGGTTCAAATACACACAAAATTTTATTTTTATTCATTCTACTGGTAGTTTATTTTGCTCAAATTGAAATAAAGGCTTGCCTCTAATTCTGGCCTCCTTCCAATAAAAGCCTGAACCAGGATGGGTTTGAGTAAATAAAGGCCCGGGCCTGTATTAGAAGATTTACGGTATATGTGAACACAACATGACATGAGATTAATACTTGTAAAACAACATAATTTACATCTGTTTGTTGGCTAAAGAAGGACATAAATAAACAAGAAATGTGAGGTCGCCATCTTAAAAATGGAAGAAGAAATTATTTGTGTGATATGCTTGTCAGCTACTAGATGGTGTCATCGGATAAGAGAAATGCTCCAGAAAGAGCAAGTGTGGCATTTCTCCTAAGACTATAACTAGGGTGAACTCATTTTTGTAACATGGGCTTGAATGGACTTGTTAGGAAAATTTCTTTTTTGTGTGTGAAAATTAACAAATCTTGTTTAAAATCAATGGCCCACAATTAGGGGAGTATTTTGTAGTTAGGTAAATGAAGGAAAATGTTGATTCTGAAAGAAAAGTAAAGCTTTTCTGAGCAATGTAGTGGGGTGTACTCATTTATGCCGTATTTACAGGTCATCATCTAAATCTGTGTTTAGAACTAATCTGATCACTGACTCTGTCCAAAGCCTCCATCAATGCGATCAGCTCTGAAAGGAGTTTCTGCAGCTTCCAGAGGGACCACACCAGGAATCAGAGAACCAACTATCACCTAGAGCATGTTACTGACCAGTGGCAGCTGCTCAGGGACCCGAGATGCCACCTCTGTTCTGCTAAGGAGAACATGGAGTCCTGAGAGGATACAACACACAGCACTAGTTAACATACAAGTCCACAGCATGCAATACTTGTTCATGTTGCTCTTCCATGTTTACCTGCCAGCAGCCTACAGACAGGCAGGTGTATGGAGACTTTTTCCTGAGACACCTGGTACCTGAACGTGTCCACAGAATGTCCAGCCAGACTCAAGCTGATTGGCTGGTCACCATCAGGCAGGCCACCCAGGCAATGACTTAGTGCGCTCAGACACTTCTTATAAGCCTGGATCAACACAAGCTCCTGAAAACCAAAGAGATGGAATGAGTGAAAGACACCACAAGTTGAACACAAACAGCCTAATGCTGCGTAACATGTATGATGGTGTGTAACATGTATGATGGTGTGTAACATGTATGATGGTGTGTAACATGTATATTGGTGTGTAACGTGTATGATGGTGTGTAACATGTATGATGGAGTGTAACAGGTATAATGCTGTGTAACATGTATGATGGTGTGTAACATGTATATTGGTGTGTAACATGCATGATGGAGTGTAACAGGTATAATGCTGTGTAACATGTATGATGGTGTGTAACATGTATGATGGAGTGTAACATGTATGATGGTGTGTAACATGTATGATGGAGTGTAACATGTATGATGGTGTGTAACATGTATAATGCTGTGTAACATGTATGATGGAGTGTAACATGTATGATGGAGTGTAACATGTATGATGGTGTGTAACATGTATGATGTGTGTAACATGTATGATGGTGTGTAACATGTATGATGTGTGTAACATGTATGATGCTGTGTAACATGTATATTGGTGTGTAACATGTATGATGGAGTGTAACAGGTATAATGCTGTGTAACATGTATGATGCTGTGTAACAGGTATAATGCTGTGTAAGGTGTATGATGGTGTGTAACATGTATATTGGTGTGTAACATGTATATTGGTGTGTAACATGTATGATGGTGTGTAACATGTAAATTGCTGTGTAACATGTATGATGGTGTGTAACATGTATGATGGAGTGTAACATGTATGATGGTGTGTAACATTTATGATGGAGTGTAACATGTATGATGCTGTGTAACATGTATGATGGAGTGTAACATGTATGATGGTGTGTAACATGTATGATGTGTGTAACATGTATGATGGTGTGTAACATGTATGATGTGTGTAACATGAATGATGCTGTGTAACATGTATATTGGTGTGTAACATGTATAATGGAGTGTAACAGGTATAATGCTGTGTAACATGTAAATTGCTAAGTAACATGTATGATGGCAAGTAACATGTATGATGGTGTGTAACATGTATGATGGAGTGTAACATGCATGATGGTGTGTAACATTTATGATGGAGTGTAACATGTATGATGCTGTGTAACATGTATGATGGAGTGTAACATGTATGATGGAGTGTAACATGTATGATGGAGTGTAACATGTATGATGGTGTGTAACATGTATGATGTGTGTAACATGTATGATGGTGTGTAACATGTATGATGTGTGTAACATGTATGATGCTGTGTAACATGTATATTGGTGTGTAACATGTATGATGGAGTGTAACAGGTATAATGCTGTGTAACATGTATGATGCTGTGTAACAGGTATAATGCTGTGTAAGGTGTATGATGGTGTGTAACATGTATATTGGTGTGTAACATGTATGATGGTGTGTAACATGTAAATTGCTGTGTAACATGTATGATGGCAAGTAACATGTATGATGGTGTGTAACATGTATGATGGAGTGTAACATGTATGATGGTGTGTAACATTTATGATGGAGTGTAACATGAATGATGCTGTGTAACATGTATGATGGAGTGTAACATGTATGATGGTGTGTAACATGTATGATGGAGTGTAACATGTATGATGGTGTGTAACATGTATGATGTGTGTAACATGTATGATGGTGTGTAACATGTATGATGTGTGTAACATGAATGATGCTGTGTAACAAGTATATTGGCGTGTAACATGTATATTGGTGTGTAACATGTATGATGGTGTGTAACATGTAAATTGCTGTGTAACATGTATGATGGCAAGTAACATGTATGATGGTGTGTAACATGTATGATGGAGTGTAACATGTATGATGGTGTGTAACATTTATGATGGTGTGTAACATGTATGATGCTGTGTAACATGTATGATGGAGTGTAACATGTATGATGGTGTGTAACATGTATGATGGAGTGTAACATGTATGATGGTGTGTAACATGTATGATGTGTGTAACATGTATGATGGTGTGTAACATGTATGATGTGTGTAACATGAATGATGCTGTGTAACATGTATATTGGTGTGTAACATGTATAATGGAGTGTAACAGGTATAATGCTGTGTAACAAGTATGATGCTGTGTAACAGGTATAATGCTGTGTAAGGTGTATGATGGTGTGTAACATGTATATTGGTGTGTAACATGTATATTGGTGTGTAACATGTATGATGGTGTGTAACATGTAAATTGCTGCATGTATGATGGCAAGTAACATGTATGATGGAGTGTAATGTTGCAAGCCCCCGCATGCCAGAACCACAGGAGGTAATAAAGGAGATCACAAAGGAAGAGGTCACAATGGGAGAAATCACAAGGGAAGCAAAGATAAGCGGGAGCCTGCGGATGCGAGTGGAATCGAGGCAGGTGAAAACGAGAAGTGGACCAACTGAAGGAAGCATCACAGGATGTGGTCCTCCTGGGGAAGTTTGAACTTTGGGTGAACCTGAAACCATCTTACAAATTACAATGATCACATTGTTTGGCTGTCTTGTGATTGACTGATATATGTAATGCAAATTGCTTCACTCTGAAAAGTGCTTGCAACATGAAAATGCTATACAATGGAAAATGCTTTGCTTTGCAGTTTTTAGAGTGATATATAAGAGCAGTTAGAAGTAGTTTGAGAGTGTGTGTAGTGTTGAGTTGTAGAAGAGTTGTAGAAGCAGCATCCTCATAAGGGGAAATTTAGTCTTAGCTTTACTCTTTTTGCTTTTTTTTGATTTTGAAATAAAATTTTTGGAAAATGAATCCTCGTTCTCAGTTCTTAAAGGACTCTTTTAGCCTTTGAGTGGGAGCCCCGACCAGACCTGGTAGCAAAGGTAAGTCGCCTTATTGCTATTCAGGACTTGTTTCAGGTTGTGACAGATAAGAAAAGATACCTTAGGTAATGAGAGCTTAGCCTCTCCTCCTTCCTATTGTAGCAGGACATCCTAAGGGTAATAAACCATAATGGTTAGTTGTTTCAAAGAGGCTCTGTTCTGCACGTGTGAAAAAGTCTCTGGCCAGCGTGGGAATGAACCATTTCAAAGGGTGGATCAATTAGATTAATTGATAAATCCATGTTAGCCTGATCACCTAACGGGAATCATTTTCTAGTTTCCACCACCCACATATGCTGACAGAGGCGCAAATTAATTCTGATAGGACCCAAATAATAGTCAGCTGCGTTGGCCTCCAGTAACTCTTGCCCTAGTACTCAAAACCACTGAGTAACGGGTACCTACAAGAAGAGTGTGCTGTCACAGAAAAACAAGTACGGCTATTCCATTCCACCTTAAAATAGAAAACAAGTTCTAATAGGGAGTCCAAACCAGGGTCTGTACAATAAAACTCACCGCGGCCTCAACTTCCCTGAAAAAGCAGCGTATTCTAATGAAACATGGCGCTCAACGGCGGGGCTTGAGTGAAGGTAAATACTAGATACAGGACTCACCGAAAAAGAACTGTTTCTAGGCCGACAAAAGCTCGCGCACCATGGACCTTGTAAGCTTATAACCTTGGAGTAAGTGAAAATCCGCACCATCTCTAAAAAAAAAAAAGGAAGAGATGGGGAGAACGGAGGACTAACTGAAAGAAAAGGTAGAAAGAAACAACGGCATTCCGACGCGAGAAAAGCCAAGGATAGACTAGGAAAAAATTAAAATTAAAAATAAAACATAAAAACAAATAAATAAATAAAAAATAATAAAAACTCTTAACCAGCCATGACAGATAGATCTTTAACAGTAAAGCGGGAAAATATTCTCCCTAACGTGAGATTTGTAACCGAAGAAATAAAGAGGCAAACGATTTGGGTCAAAAGAGGACCGAACCAGAAAGGAAATTGCATTAAGCATAACGTGAGTGGACCACATCAGATACAGAATGTAACTGGAAACGTGGTTTTAACTGAATCTGATATGTGCGTTCACCCTAATCAAGTGATAAGATAAATTCACAGATGAAACTACTTAATTAGAAGTCATGGCTGGATTAAATCCTAGTGCTGGAATGGGTAGCCCGAACCTGGTCAACACCAGCCTCATTATGGTGTCTAGGGGGAGTTCTGTCACAACCTGTAAGGTGGCCATGTTTCCTAGTTTCACAACTTCCCCAGCTGGGTACCGCTACGCTCAGTGGAGGGGTTGGATTCCGGGAACATGGATTATGTATGGAACTCATTGTTCCTTAATTAAGTGGTCGGGGCTCCAGGAGGAGAAGCCGTGCCACCTGGAAAGGGGGACGGACTTACACCTGGGAGCATTGGAACTCTCTGCCCCAATTAAAATTTGTTTTTGCAGGACCTGCTTGAGACAAGAACCCAGCATCCGCTCATGGCAGGTCTGTCAGTGCACCCATGGAGGCGAAAGCAAAGATGGGTGCTGCTTTATAAAAAATGGCGTTTTGACTACCTGCTTACCAACATGCAAACCCAGCCTGTTTTATGTGGGAGAGCTACTCAGGGACCCTAGCCAGGTAAAAACAGTTAGGGACTTATGGGTGGAGGCTTACCCATTTGTAATCAAGCACAAGACTAGAGAAAAGGGACTAGAGACGCTTCAAGCTCGATCCTGCTTCGAGTCTATTAAGAGTTTGATATTAGGACAGCAGTTTGGGACGCTGGCTGATGCATGGGAAGCAGGTACACAAATAGGAGTGAGCCAAGAATATAAAGATGAACGATGGGGAACCTATTTATCAGGTAACCTTGACTGGCATACGGGGTTGTCTGTTCAGGAGCCCCCAGGAATATGTAAACATTTGACCTCATGTCTGGTTGAGCTAAAGAGCATTGGACCAGGGGCAGAGCATAAGTTCATGCCTTATCAGCTGACACTGATAGAAGCGATAGACCTGTCAGGTCAAATTTGCAGCTCAGCTGTTAACATAGCCACCACCCGAAACGGAGCTGATTATTGGCCAAAGACTTATGGGACTGCGTATACTAAGATATCACGTAGTAGGCTGGTCCCAGGTCTGACGCAAATTAGTT